TATCGCCTCGTCTACTAGCAGGCCATAAATAGCTCCAACAACCAACTAGGAGACATTGAGTTCAGTTCTTGTAACCCCCGTGTAGGAGGAGATTGGGTGGTGGTGGTGCACGATACCAGCCAGGTTTAGTTCCCGCCCACGTCGGGGTGAACTGGTAGGGGTGCTTCTCTCCTCCCTCCTGGTGTCGCTGTATTCACCCCACTCCCACATCACTACCCTCTAACCTCCCTACATGATTAACTTCAACAACGCAACGAACTCATGACTCTAGCCACCTCATCTCAACATAGCCAGCCTATTTCAACATGACTCTCACAATTTCAGCATAGCCTCCCCTACTCCTCCTCCCTCCACCATCATATCCCTCCCTATTTGGTTGGGTTGTGGTTTTTTTGGGTTGGTGGTTGTTTTTGGTTATTAGAGGATCTCTGTTATAGGTTAGGTTAGGATCTCTGTTATAGGTTAGGTTAGTTTAAGTAAGACAATCTCCCGGACTAGCTCCTGAAACTAGCATACAAATCTGCATCACTAGGAAGGATGCGCGGCGGTCAGGTGATCTTCTTGCGCGCCAAAAACTAGTCCGGTAAACAAGACATCAAAGGCGGGTTACCAACTCTTGTGTTTTTCTCACAATTTAATGTTTATGTTAAGGTGGTAATAAATATTTTCTGAAGGAGTGAACTAAAGTGTTGGGAGGAGGAAGGTTTGTTTGTAGTTTTATGTAACCTAACCTAACCAAATACAGTATAACCAAATCTAACCTAACCTAACCTAACCTAACCAAATATAACCAAATATAACCAAATCTAACCTAACCAAATATAACCCACAACCTAACCTAACCTATCCTAACCTAACCACATATAACCTATTCTAACCTAACTAATCTAACCAAATGTAACCTAACCTAATCTAACCTAACCTAACCTAACCACATATAACCTATTCTAACCCCAACTAATCTAACAAATGTAACCTAACCTAATCTAACCCCTAACCTAACCACACTATAACCTATTCTAACTAACCTAGTCTAAACCAATGTAGCCCTGCCTAATCTAACCTAACTCTCCAAGCTATAGCCTTTCAACCTAACCTATCTAATGTAACACAAACTTCCAACCTAATCCAACCAAGCCATATCCTATTCTAACCTAACCTAGTCTACCAAATGTGCTAACCAATGAGCCTACAATCTAACCTGGCAACCCTGATGAATAGATCAAGCAGCTGATCTGTAGGCCTAGCCTGAAGTCTGGCCAAGTCTGAGCCAAGTCTGAGCGAAGGCCTAGCCTGGCCTCAGGTAGGAGAGAAGGAGGTGGTGGAGGAAGAGAAGGAGGTCAGAAGCAAACAAACTCTGACTAATCTTATATATTTATCTACCTTTCTCCCTCACCCCTCCCTCCCCTCCTCATCCCCCCCTCCCCTCTCCCCCCTCCTCCCCTCCCTCACCCCTCCTCACCCCCTCCCTCACCCCCTCCTCACCCCCCTCCCTCACCCCTCCCTCACCCCTCCTCACCCCCTCCCTCACCCCCTCCTCACCTCCCTCACCCCCTCCTCACCCCTCTCTCCCCCTCCCTCACCCCTCCTCCTCACCTCCTCCCCCCCCTCCTCACCTAACGCCGGCCTTCACACCGTTAATTTGTACATCTTCACCCGACACCTGCACCCGGTTGCCAGGTCATAATAATACTAATTTTTTTATTATTTTATTTTTATCTCACAGCTCTGGTATTATCTGCACACACACACACACACACACACACACACACACACACACACACACACACACACACTCACACACACACACACACACACACACACACACACACACACACACACACACACACACTAACACTCACACACACACACACACACACACACACACACACACACACACACACACACACACACACACACACACACACACACACACACACAAACACTCACACACACACACACACACACACACACACACACACACACTAACACTCTACCAGCGAGATTAAGTTTGCATTAGGTTAGGATTGGTTAGGTTTGGTTAGATTAAGTTATGTTCTCTTATATAACAAACATCTATCACAGCTGCCAGAGTTACAATAACCTAACCTAACCAAACCTAACGTAACCTAACCTAATGCTAACCAAACCTAACGTAACCTAACCTAATGCTAACCAAACCTAACGTAACCTAACCTAATGCTAACCAAACCTAACGTAACCTAACCTAATGCTAACCAAACCTAACGTAACCTAACCTAATGCTACCCAAACCTAACTGTAACCATCTTCAATGCTAACCAAACCCTAACGTAACCTAACCTAGTGCTAACCAGACCTAACGTAACCTGACCTGGTGCAACCAAACCTAACCTAACCTAACCTATGCTAACAAGGCCTAGCTAGCCTGGCTTAGCTGACCCAAGCCTAGCGTGGCCTGGCCTAGTGCTCCAGACCTGACCTGACCTAACCTAATGCTGGCCAGGCCTGGCGTAACCTGACCTGATGGAACCAGGCCACGTAACTGGTGCTGCCCAGC